TTTTATATGGAAAAATTATGAAGCTTTCCAATGAGCTGATTCATTAAAAATGATGTGAAAAATATATTTTATATCACAACTTACCATCAATTCGTGATGAAAAGACACATATTTAGTAGTGATCGAATAGATAATTAATCCATAAGAAAAAGACAAAAGGATAAAAGTGGGAGAAGAAATTTAAATTATAAACCCCATAATTTATTTATTTTGGCACAGTATAAACCCAATAATTTATATCTTGTACACTATAAATGCTACATTTTTAATCGCTACTTTAAGTAAATTTTCTAAATTTTAACAGATATCATTGTTGTGACTCCAATAATTAAATTTATTTACGACTGTCAGTTACACGTCTGTTTCTTCATTCTTCTTTATGCATATTATTTTTTATATAATTTAAATTACAAATAGATTTTTTCTATTTGTATATAGAAAATTAATTTGCACCTATCGTTGATATTGATTTTGACATAGCAACTAACAATTCGTACCATAATTGTAAGGTGAAGTGCACATTCTCAAGATTTAAATAAAATAATTCCAGTCCCACATCAATAATATTATAGTACTAAAATCATGCTGTTGTTGTTTATCTTTATCATGATATATATAAATAACTGAAATTATTAATGTTTCTGTTGCAATTACACGAGATATCTGTCACCTCTATCAATAACAATTATCATGTAATTATGTCTATTAAAGTTAAGGCAAATGAGAAGAATCATCTAGTATTTTTTGTCTCCATTATGTTTTGAACGTGAAATTAAACCTTATGATTCCTAACCACTTTATTGACCACTAGGCCACACCTTTAGGTGCACCACTAACATTTTCAGTGGGAAATTATGGTTTTTTTAGTAGTGATGATTATTTCACTCATCAAATAGTGATTTTAAAGATTGTTACATTAAACACAATGTAATTACTAGACTTATTAATGAAGATTTGTTTCTTAATATGGATAAGAACAATCTGTATAGTGTGATAAATATGGATAATTGTTGCTATTAATAGTAGGACAGTAGGACAATTATAGGTAGAGGTGTTCAGGTTTGGATAAAAATCGATTCAAATCGAAAAATCAAACCAAACCGATTTGATTTGGGTTTGGTTTGATTTGGTTTTAGATCTTTGAAAATCGATAGTATTTGGTTTGGTTATGGTTTTATTCGAAATAAATCGAAGAAATAATAGAACCGAACCGATGAATTATATACATATTTAATATATTATTTTTATAAACAATTTTAAAGATCTTATACATATTTTCATTAAAATTTCTTTATAATTTACTTATTGAAAACAAAAATGTCCAAGATGAAACATTTATCTTATTGATTTCATGTATATGAGTGTCTATGACAATTCTTCGTGGGACTGAAAATGTTATTGTCTCTTCCTTCTAGGCCAATATAGTGAATTTTAAAGCTTTATTGATAGTAAATTTAGTGATCGAAAGTTCAGTAATTTAAGTCATTCTAACTATTTTTTGTTTTGAATGGATTGTTGTCACTTTTTTCACATTTTGAATGAATTGTTTCTTTTATTTTTGTGTATGGTTAATAACCGAACCAAACCAAACCGAAACTGATAACCACCAAACCGATAAATGTATATTATATTTGTTTTGGTTTGGTTTTGATAATTTTAAAACCGATTAAGTTGGTTTGATTTTGGTTTTGATCAATAACTGATCCAAATCGACCCGTGAACACCCCTAATTATAGGTACAATCAGAGAGTAAATTAATAATAGAGTTTACGTACCCTAATTTATTGGAAATATGAAATGCACCTACACCAAACTCAATGAGTTTATAATCTAAGTCCCAATATTTTCGAATTATAAGGGGACCAGTTTCTTTTCAAAAAAAAAAATTCTGTTCTATCATTTTCACAATTATTAATATTTCATTTCCATAAGGTCCACTTAACTCCCGTTAACATAGACAACTCCACTTCAACGGAATTTCCTCCACTTTCTTTTTATTAATTTCTTGGAGTCACGAAACGAATTCAAGATTAGAATTTTAAGTATTTAGGTTTGAAGTTCTATCACGGTACATTTGAATTATTAGGTATGAAATTTAATAAGTTTGATGAATCGAAAATAGTGAGATGGATTCAGCAAAAGTGAAATTTCATCGAGCTAACTAGCATTCTTTTCCATTGTTTATTTTGAGTGTAACGATGTTCCATTGAACACGGTATGAATACACGTTAAAATAAGTCTATGAGTTTGGAGGTATTTTTAAATTCATTTATCTAAGCATATGTGTGTTTTTAGTACTAGGCATAAATTGAAGACGAATATAATAAGTCACACTAAATTCAGAGCATTTTAATTATTTCATCCAAAAAATAAATAAATAAGAACACTTTGAATAGGAGAAAGTCACAATCAAAGTATGTGGTGCGGTGCTATGGAAAATAAAATAAAATAGGAGAAAGTCTACGAATAATAAGGGGCCACGTCACTCTGGCCAAAAGTTTGTTCACACAAAGAATTCTGTTCACTATTTTTATCTTACATCCTGTTTTGGCCTAAATTTTTTTGGTCAAATAATCAAACATAAAAAAATAATAAAAAAAATAATAAAAAATTAAAAAAATAAATAAAATATATATATATATATATTTGCAAAAAATGTTTTCCTCCGTACTAAACACATAAAGAGAGTAATGCCTTGAAGTACTTGTGATAAATACAAATTCCGATAGGCAATAACCACCAAATATTATGGTAAAATGATACTTTCTATGTCCCTAATTACTTGTCCATTTTTAAATTGACACACCTATTAAGAAATCAATAATTGACATAGTGAGTTTACCATTTTACTCTTATTAATTATGAAGTGAATGAATTAAAAACTTAAGATTTTCAAGAAATTTTACCTTTTTCAAAATAATTAATTAAGGGTATAATAGGTAAAAAAAATTGTCCTTTCTTGATTTATCAAAATAGACAAGTAATTAGGGGCAACTAAAAAAAGAAATGTGGATAAGTAATTAGGGACAGAGAGAGTACATACTTAGCGTCATTAAATTCGAGTTTTCTATATAAATTCACTTTTGAGAAAGAACATTGATTGATTGCAATTTCAAGAATAGATTATCTTTCTTTTATTTTTGTTATTTTTATCTCATAATGTAAATCTGAATTCATATTAGATAGACCACAAAACGAGTACTCGATAATGAATGAGAAACTTTAAAAAAAAATAGTGTCTTGTAAGCCTTAACTTTGCCGACATAGTGAAAATTACCTTAGAACTATGTGTTTTCTTGAAAGAGGTGAATCCTTGTCAATGTTTGTATACTCAAATGACCTATCAATATCTTTTTTAGAATTGAAAGCAATTTTTTAAATCAAAATAGCGATATAATCCCATAGTGTACTAAGTTCAATTGAATTGTCCTTCCATAACCATCATTGTTAATGTCATCAAAACTTCCTAAAGTCAGAATTTAAAATTTATTAATATAAAATTTTAATTATTATATTCATTTGAAACCATATCTTAAAAAATTAACTCTTGCCATGTACTTATAAGGTTGTATGGGGAAAATGATGATAACGAGGAATTTTTGTTTCCCCATATATAAGCACATAATCATAGGAATTTTAACTTCTCATTGTATTAGGTCATTGTAAACATCAAAATTACATATCATTCTCTTTTTTAGTCGAGCTTATCGCACCAGATATATTAATGCGGTTTACATGTTAGACCATTTGCAATCCAACACCAAATTTTATATCAAATCCTAAATTTGGTGTAAAAGTTGTTGTTTTAAGCTCCAACCCACACCAATTTTCACACCAATTCACTTTTTGAATATTTTAATATTATTTCATTATACAAACTTTTAATTAACCATTATATAAATTGTATGTTTTAATTAAATCTCTTGTATATTTAATTATTTTTTATGTAATATTTTTATAATATTAATTTTAGATATAAAATTTAGCTTTTTATAAATTAATTTTTCTATATACGTCTTTTTTTAAAAAAAAAAAATTATGTTAATTCTACTATGAATTATAATTTGATATAACTACAATTAACCTTCACAAAAATTAAAAATGCAAACATATAAATTTTTAAACAAATAATACAATTTACTTAAAAATAACCGAAAATAATAAACATTCAACAAAGTAGTAATTGACATACATCAAAATTGAAATATAAAATACATAGTAATTTAAAAAAGTACAACAAAACATAATAATTTTAAAAAATTACAACGATAACTTAATAATCTGACAGATTATTTCCGGATCCATCAATACTATTAAAATATGAATCGTATGGGGTATAATAAAGTATACATCAATACTTTATTTAATTGTATTTCATTAATGATTTCACTTTTATTTGTATTATCCATTATTATGTATAATGTATGATATTTGCTAGCAATTTATATTATTTAAAAAATTATGGTACAAAATAATTTTATATTAAATGATTGTAAAAGGAAATAATATGAATTATGGTGAATGTTTTAGAACGAATTTGTTTTATGAAATAAGAAAATATAAATGAAATAAGAAATAATAATATAATAATGAAGAAAAAAAAATATTCTTTTTTGATGTAAAATTTGGTACAGTAAATTGAAGTTGATTACACAAAAAATAGTACCTACACCAAATTTAATATAAAATTTGATGTTTGAATTGGAGACGCCCTTACTCAATGTGCACCTGAAAATTAGCGGTTGCAGATTTATCAATACTTGGACACCAAGTCAAATTAGAGCGACGAGAAATATTAGGCCAATACTTTTTGTTAATATCTGTGTGCGTTGGGTGGTTGGTGTACTATGCTTAATGCTTTCCCTATATATAACGAAGAACGTTGCTTACAAAATTTTCATTACTACACAGCTAAGTTCATACATACAGCTGTAATAAGAAACAACAAATTCAACCAAAGTTTTCCCATTCTTAATTTCATCAAAACAACAACAACAACAATGGTGGTCTTAACAAAACCTACCATTGATCACTTTCCTATAGTCAAAAACTCTTTCAAATCTCCCTCTTTCTTCAATGATATTCCTGTAATAGATCTCTCTAAACCCGACTCCAAAAACCTCATCGTTAATGCCTGCGAAGAATTCGGATTCTTTAAAGTCATAAACCATGATGTTCCTATGGAAATCATAAGTAAACTCGAATCCGAAGCCATTAAATTCTTCTCATCTCCCCTCCCTGAGAAACTAAAAGCAGGACCTGCTGACCCTTTTGGTTATGGCAATAAGAAAATCGGACAAAATGGCGATATCGGTTGGGTTGAATACATTCTCCTTTCAACAAACTCTGAATTCAATTACCAGAAATTCTCATCTGTATTAGGTGTAAATCCAGAAAACATACGGTAAGACACTAAAACAGAGTAAAACAGAGCAAAACAGAGTAAAACAGGGGAAAACAGAGTAATGTCTTGAGATCTCGATTCTTGTTTTTATCGTTTCTTGATTTTTGTTATTGCTATTGTTATTGCAGGGCTGCGGTTAGTGATTATGTGTCAGCAGTGAAGAAAATGTCATGTGAGATTCTTGAAATGTTGGCGGAGGGATTAAATATTCATCCGACGAATGTTTTCAGTAAGCTTTTGATGGATGAAAAGAGCGATTCTGTTTTCAGGCTGAATCATTATCCTCCATGTCCTGATATTCAAGAATTAAATGCCAAAAATTTGATTGGATTTGGAGAACATACCGATCCACAAATTATATCGGTTTTAAGATCAAACAACACTTCCGGTCTTCAAATTTTACTCAAAAATGGACATTGGATTTCTGTTCCATCTGATCAGAATTCTTTTTTCATCAATGTTGGCGACTCATTACAGGTACGTAAATTACCCTCATCAAATTTTGTACTTGTTTTGAGAAATAATGGAAGTTTTATCATCGTTCAGAACTCATAAATTTAAAATCCTGAATCTGCGCGTGCAGGTGATGACTAATGGGAGGTTTAAGAGTGTGAAACATAGGGTATTGACAAACAGTGTGAAATCAAGACTATCAATGATATATTTTGGAGGACCACCATTGACTGAAAAGATAGCACCATTGCCATCACTAATTGAAGGAACAGACAGTTTATACAAGGAGTTTACATGGTTTGAATACAAAAAGTCAGCTTACAAGACTAGACTGGCTGATAATAGGTTGGTCCGATTTGAGAAAAATTTATAATAACGATGTATATAACTTAAACTTTTCGAGAAAATAGTTACATTCAACGGTTCAACTCTTTAGGAAGGACTTGTATTGTTAAAAAAATGATGTTTTATAATAGTAGTTCAAAGTCATTATCATCTATTTATTATACATATATATCAACCCCAAGGGGTTATGAGTTTTTTTTTTATTCGTACTAGTTGGGGCTCTCACTTCACCACCCTAGTGCTCCTTGGTTACATTACATACGTTGCTCGTTAATGATATATGAATATGTAAAATATTATAAACATGAAAAATGAATCATTATAAGGCCAATGGGTTATGATTTTTAAAATTGAAATGGGAATGATCTAGAAACAAGGAATTGGGCTTACGTACACATCCCCTTCAACGGCACAAAATTAAATTGCTTGAGTTAAGGACCTCGTATTTAGGCCATTGTGAGAATGGCACTACGAGTCAAGGCTCAAGACATTACATTATGTGACATCGCATGGACTATCGTGGGAAGGCCACTTAGATCGATAAATAATTAATCTTGAAATGTTGATCGGCTTTTATTGGAAAGGCATTTTGACCAAACCTAATGTTCAAATTTCAAAATACAATATAAGTTCACGCGGATTTATTCTCCATTATGGAAAGTAGCCTTTGTAGTTGATTTCTATGTCCTAGATATTAGGTCCAACAATGAACAAAAGTATATAAAACAACTTTTTACAAATTAACAATAATAATTAAAGTGGAAAACATACTAATTTGTGTCATAAAAATTCCTAAGATAACACTTATTTCGAAAATAAATTTATTTTATTAAAGTAACATTTATTTTGTAACGGAAAGAATAATAAATTATGCACAAGCATTTGCCACTCTTTTCGTTCATTTATATGTCATCCTTATTAAAAATAGATGGTCCTTAATATTTGTCATTTCACAAAATCAATACATAAATGATATACTATTCTTTCTATTTACCTTGAGAGTTATTAGCTTTGAAAAAATGAATTTGACCAACATATGAAAACTAAACGATTAATTCATGTTCATTGGTCAATTTAATTAATATAAACAATTTAATTTAGGTTCATTTATTGAAACTTGACTTCAAGAGAATACTAAATAGAATTACAATGATAAACTTACATAATTTCTTAAAAACATAAAATCTAAAATGATAACATATAAATACAAATGGAGGTGATAATTAATTAGCTCAGCTAGCTAAAGACGACATTCAACGTCAATTAAGCTAAAGTTATTGTTAGATGTTAATTAGTAGACGTTTTTATTCGAGAAGAAACTATTCAATTGCTGCACCACCACCTAAAAAGGTACTTCATTTGTTTAATTTACGTGTCTTAGTTTTTATTTGAATAAATTAAAAATATTATTTTGCTAATAATTTTTAAAATATTCTTTATATATTTTTGAATTATTAAATTGTGACTTATAATATTCTTAAAATATATATATAAATTTTATTTTCAAATGATTGAAGATTTTACACCTTAATCATACCTAATATTAGTTAATTTAATTTACATACGAATCAAGCTAAATAAATTTAAACAAAAAAACATGACACCAGTAGTAGTGTAGCATCACATCAAAAAGGTCCATGGTTACCACAGTGCCACGCTACTACAGTTTGAAATATGTTTTGTGCTTCATTTCAATTTATATAATATTATTTAATTTAATTGAGTTTAAAAAAAGAAAAATAGATTTTTTAAAATTTCATGTCTAAAATAAATCTTAAATATTTATGTGATTATATATCATCTCATTAAGAATAAATACGCATTTTAAAAAGTAAATTATTACTAAATATTAAAATGTCTCATAAATTAAGACGGAGAGAACAATACATTGTTGTTATTGTAGCTGTTTTAACGAGTTGTAATAGTCGTTGGAGCTGGCACAGAGCCGCCACAGTGCATGAGGGATACGAAGTTGATAAAATTTAATAACTTTGACTCAAACTCTATATTTATAATTTAAGAATTCATTGAACTAAATATTTCTAATCCCACCTCTGATATTAATACATATCGTCACAATCAACAATACATTATACCTCTACATCTCAATTTATGCGATAATATTTAGATTTCGAAAATCAATAATTTGAGCCTTTGAGGATAATCACTAACCTAGGATGTAGGCTTAGATTGTGAAAGGCATATCTTACCAAACATGTGATACTTCCTTATCCAAACACTATAAATTTTCGTGCAAATTGTTGAATCAAAGTACATACAATCTTTGATATCTCTTGTCATAGTGGGATCAATAGATATTAGATTAGATTGGATAGGCAACACTTCACCAACTAGATTTGCCTTTAATTTTCTTCCCATTTTTGGGGAACAATTTGGACCTCTCTTTACTTACTCAACGTACAAATATATCTCCTTGCCACTAGCTACGATTTTTGACGAGACATTCTTCTTATCCTCAAAAAAAAAGGAACAGGTGAAATTTACTTACACTCGTTATTTACATCAAATCATTATTGTATAGGAGTATTATGTATTGCAATATTTGAATTGAGACTTTATTAAAAATTGTGTCTTTGTTTATGTGAGAGAGGAGTGGAATTCGCATACATTCTATGAAATAGGATAAAGTTTACATACATTTTATCATTTCCTAAACTCATGTGTGCAATTATACTTAATATGTTATTATTATTATTATTATTATTATTATTATTATTATTATTATTATTATATATGAGATTAATTGATTTAATGAGGTAAACATATATATTAAATAATCATTGATTAAGTAATAAAACTATATATATGCAAACATATATCATGCGTACATTTACTTTCCGACCCAACTCTAATATGTGAGTTTTTTTTCTAGTTGGACTATATTCATGTTCCATCCTTATATTAATTGTTCTCTATATCGTTTCAATTTTATCGGATGCGTGAAAGCTTAATCCTTTATATCTTAGTTACATCATGTAATATTTCCTATTTTTTAATTGTCACTAAGAAAAACAATTGATAATAAAGTGAAAGAGTAATTGAAACTCTTTTTAATTAATCTACGACAGACATTTGATATTTGAGATATCATCAGTCATATCACTAATCCTCCACAATTTAATTCTTCATCAAATGTCACCCACGATATTATACCAATTTTGTATATATGATGTAAAAATTAAAAACTATATAGTATATTGTACTGACTGAATTTGCAGAATGGTGATGATATTATAATAATTAATTACTGGATAAGAGAAGGTAACTGAACAAAGTTTATCCCAATATACGTAACACAACGACCTATTAATTAAACTGTTGTTGTATACGTACGTAGATAAACTATGTTAGGTCATGTCAGAAGCGGAACTATGGTGGTGTCAGGGTGTCCAGCTACACATGCACCCTTTGATGGAAAATTATAATATATATATAAATCAAATCATACTTTATAGTGGTATATATGGTATTTTGAAAATCCTTAGAACCATACAAACTTGTAGCGCAATGACAAGGGCATGCAATATGCTCTACATAAATGGCGCCCAAATTTAAATTCTTATATAGTAATTTATTTTCGAATTTACTATTCAAAATTTGAAAACTCTTTTTGAAATTTTTGATTACGCCACTGGTCAGAAGTTATCTTAAAATGTCTTATCGACAATGAACTGTACATTGACCTAGTCAGCCATGAATACCACCTATTTTCGGACCCCCAACAACACCCCATTTCATATTTGATCATGCATCACATAATTTGATCCTAGAGCAATAAATTTATAGTTAATTTTTTCGGTTTTTTTTATTGTTAGAGCGAAATGATGCTATAAAGAACATATAATATAAGTAGATGACCTAATAGAAAAAATCGGTTTAAAAAAAACTTAGTCTCTATCATTAATGAAATGTCTGATTATAATTAGACTAGTGAAATTTAATACTATTAAATTTTGTATTTCAAAAAACTATAATAATAACTTTCAAATTATGAAAGTGTACCTACAATATAATTCTTCTTGTTGAATAATTTGAAGGTTTGAGAATAATTAGTAGCGCAGAGCTAGGGTCACAAGGGGTTTATATGAACAATTTGTTAAAAATTTACATTGTATATGAATTATATAATATGATGTCAATTTTTTTTTATGTATATATATAATAAACGTCGAATTTTCTTAATTAACTTCTTCTATATATATATATATTTTTTATTTTATTTTTTTAATTTTAATTTTATTTTTTTTGTTTTTTTTATTTTTTTTGAATCATCAACAAAAAATTAAAATTGAATCCACAATGTGGGACGGAGTACCACATCAATAAGTACTCTTACGACAACTCTTTTTCATGATGTTCTAAATTTAGTGATAGATTTTGAATACATTGGATGTGAACATTAAAGATTGACAAAATCTTTCTACTTTCTATTTTTTTTAAATCATTTTTGTGATCATTCTTTGAGCTAGTTGAGCTGAAACATCATACTTTTTATCTGCACCAAAACATAAAATAGAAATAATATAATACAATATTTGAGAGTAGTCAGTTACAAACGTGACAATTCGAAGGAGGTGAAGTGGGGGGTGGGGTATGTGGAACTTTCCTTTTTGACCAAAATTAGAAGATCATGAAAGGGACTGAGGGGGGTCTCTAAGATTTATCAACCACATTTTGATTCAATGTCCATTGTACCTTTTTTCACACAAACATTGGGCGGATTCAGAATATAATCTACGAGTTTATGTATTATTAAACAAAATAAGAATAATAGGCGTAGCTAAAAAGCCAAATCAATCATTAATTAAAAAAAAGTTTATTAGTTATATGAGCAATATAACAATGGTCTAGCGATAGAGTTCTTAACTATTTCTGAAATTCTTTACTGATCGTGTCTCTGATAAAATAGTCATAATTTTTTACTCCAAATTCTTGTTGATGCAAACTTGATGACATTAGAAAAAAACTCATAGACCTTTAATTTGACAGGACATATGTCACCTAGCTATTACAGTAATATTTAGAAAAATATA